GCCATTGTTTTAAGATACGATGAAGGGTGTATGAAAGCTGCATTCTCATTGGCTACTGAAACTAGAGTTGGGCTAGATACTCCAATCAGGGCTCGCAATCCATTGCAACATTGACAATTACTCTATGAAGCGCTATTTCAACATAATACACAGACTTTTGGTGCGCGATTTCAACCACTTTTATGAGGCGCGATAATGCACGCACCAGGGCACAATTTCGGGTGCGCGGTGGAGCGCAGGCGTGATCGCGCCCCTTAAAAATGAAAGCCTGCGGTTCGATATATCGGAACGTACCCTGCATGGTAACTATCTAATATGGTTAGGGTTAGGGTTAGGGTTAGGGAGTAGGCGTAGGCAACTTCCTATAGACTCGTTAGTGGAGTAGGCGAGGTACGGTCCGGCATATTAGATATAGTACCAGGGTACGTTCCGGTATACCGGACCATACCCAGGGTACGTTCCGGCAGTACCCAGGGAGACATATACCCTGGCAGCCAAACTAGGAATGAGCAATGGAAAGACAATGGGTACGAGTAGGTAGGGTGCGAAATTTACAGGAGTCCGGAGTCAAATACTCCCTGATTTGACATGTGTAGGAGTCCGTGCAACTCCCTGAAAATTCTGCCATACTAACTATAGTTCGTTCCAGAGCACGGCCTCGCGGAATTACTGTATTTGTTCAGCTAATGTCCAAAGAAAATTTGGCAGACGTGCTACTGCATGAATCTTAAAAATAAGCACATGCGTTATTGTTAATATCTTTAATTTTGAACCTCAGACTGCAAACTCTCTCTTTTTGAGGGTAGGGACTCCCGTGTTCAAAAGTTAATTTCTACCCCCGAGTAGGTATCTCTATCTGAGATAAATTTTCAAAGTTACGATTTGTATGCGATTTGAAACAGACACATACACGTGTGACATCAGGAGTATCAATAGCAATTGATAGACCCCTGGTGCCATAGCAAATGTAGATACAATAATGTAACCCAAACCCAAAAGGATAGGGTTACAAAGCCTCCCTATCCTTTTGGGTTTGGGTTACATTATTGTATCTAGACTATAGCAAATGGACAGGGACCCCCTCTACTTCTACTTCTTCTACTTCTATACTGGACAGTCCCTAAGGAATAAACGTCCGGGGCTATAGCTAGCCATGGTGTGTGTGACCTAG